GTGTTTATGATGGGTGTTACCAGTCTGGCAGGAGACACCTCGTATCATCATTTTGGATAGTGAAATCCAAAATACATGTTCAGGGTACAGTGGGAGTCATTAAAGCAGAAAGGCCTTAAGGATGTCGGAAAGGGCTTCATCGCGTTTGTTTACACTGACGTGTTCATGTTTGAACACCCATTTTTCAGCTAATGGTAATGATGGTAATGATACAGGAACTTAAAGGTTTGAAAGGAATTGGTATCGATTCAAACACTTTGCACAGATTTTGAGATTAATTCGTTTTTATTTATTCATAAAATGATTCGGATCATTTCGTCATATACCGACTTCCGTTTCAAATAAAATCCAATTATGAAAAAAACCCGACGCAATATTATAATTGCTACTCATAGTTTCCTTGGACCAGTATCACAAAGTGATCCCAGCGCTACGACACCTCTGTCCTGTCCTACCGGTGAAATACATGAGCAAAATCAATTCCGATTATAAAAAATATTATCATTCTGGAAGTCGATGTATTGAGAAAACGGGACCTACCGTGGAATTGATATCCCAAGTGTATCCCCATTGGATCCTTTACATTGAGAAGAAACGACCTTCAGTGGAATTGGTGTCTACAGTATGACAACAAAAGATCCTGACCTGACACACAAGGGGCCGCCTACGTTTCCCATCGTTTGTTTCCCGTATCCCTTTACCACAAGCATTGATTCCTCAAGACCAAGTCTAAGCTGTATATTTTTCCTGTCAAATATGCTGCGTGGCCGTGCTCGATTTACCACCATGACGTGATGTTTTACCACTTACGTAAGCAATGTTCTTCATATCCCTGGGTGCGTTTAAACACAACAAAACTGACACACTTAAAGTTTCTTGACTTCAAGAACCAGGTATACATTCAAATACACATTTAGTCAGTGAGTAATATTTCACACCGATTTTAGACATTTTCACAACGGGAAAATACAAAGCTCTAAACAAATTCTTCTCGGGGCCCAAGCGAGAAACGAAACATTGACCTTCAGCTTGACCACAATGCTTTCAACCTTTGACTATAACCCACATCTTTCGGAAACAGGTTGATTGAAGCCATTGTAAAACAAATTGTGACCGCTTAAGGTGAGGTGAAATTGGGTTTAACGTCGTGCTTGAGAATATTCCGCTCATACGACGACGTGCATGCGTGTGTATGTGTATGTGCTGCTGCTTGTACTAGCCCAGACTTCAGCTGGTTTTATAGTGCTAGCCCACTGAGATACCATACCGCAGTGAAGCATGAATACCCCACTCAGTCACGTCAATGACCTTGTACATTCGGAGCGATAACCACAGGAAGTGTTTATATATATTAACACAACGTGGGTGAGGTGGTGAGGTGAAATGGGGTTTAACGTCATGCGTGTGTATGTGTGGCTGCTTGTACTAGCCCAGACGTAAGCTGGTTTTATAGTGCAAGCTCACTGAGATACCATGCCGCAGTGAAGCATGAATACCCCACTCAGACGCATAATACTGACTCCGAGCCGACCAATCCTTGTTGTACCCATTAATGCCGAGCGCCAGACAGGGACCGGCGAGTACCATATTTTACCGTCTTTTGGTATGACGCGGTCGGGGATCGAACCCGCGACCTTCCGCTCTCCGGGCGGACGCTCTAACCACTACACCACGGAGGCGGTCGTGACCGCTTAAGGATGTCAGATCTTGTTACTATTCATTTTATCTGGAACGGACAAAGACGAATTCATCATAAAATTGCTCTATTTATACAAATGTTTGCCCATTCACATTGCCACAAAATGCGCTGAGCCACAACACACGAGTAATTTCTGTAAGTGTCAAAAACGACGCATACCGTTAGAATTACGTTTTACGGTTTAGATTGGTTTCCAGTGAAATCGACATTCGACTGTGTCATGATGTTAATCCAATGATGTTGGAAGACATATCAATTTCATCGCCTGATATAATTATAAAAGTAATTGAGTTCGGTTGTTCGTTGTGTTTTGGAGGTTAGCTCGAGTAACAATCTGCCTGAAGCTCATCACGACCCAGATACATTTATGTGATGCGAGACAACGGATGGCCGGTTAACATGGCGATCAAAAATACAGCATATTCCTAGCGGCGGGGGTTAGGTGAGGTAAAATGGGGTTTAACGTCATACATAACAATTTTTCGCTCATAATACGGCGTGTATGCACGTGTAAGTGTGGCTACTTGTACTAGCCTGGTGCTAGCTCACTGAGATACCATGTCGCAGTTAAGCATGAATACCCAACCCAGACACATTATACTGACTCCGAGCAGACCAGTCCTTGTTGTACCCATTAATGCCGAGCGCCAGGCAGGGACCAACAAGTACCATATTTTAACGTCCTTTTGGTATGACGCGACCGGGGATCGAACCCACGACCTTCCCCTCAACGGGTGGGCGTGCACGAAGTGAGTGAGTTTAGTTTTACGCAGCACTCAGCAATATTCCAACTATTTGGCGGCGGTCTGTAAATAATCGAGTCTGGACCAGACAATCCAGTGATCAACAGCATGGGCATCGATCTGCGCAATTGGGAACCGATGACATGTGTCAACCAAGTCAGCGAGCCTGACCACCCGATCCCGTTAGTCGCCTCTTACGACAATCATGGGTTACTGAAGGTTCATTCTAACCCGGATATTCGCGGGTAGGGCGTGCATGGTCCAAGCGTGTTTGAATGAATGTGCAAGAGTTTGCGTATTGGTAACGGGACATCGAGGTGGGGGGTGGGGGTGGGTGGTTTACAGTTACGTGTTTGTATGTATATGCATGTACTGCAACAGCATTCTGTGAGACGATATCAGTTATGTGTTTACACAATACCATTAAGAAACGGTCAAAATTAGCCAGCACACAAAGTCAGTTGCCTAACCCGCTCAGCCACCGTCAATTAACATTTCAATTATCAGAGGGGTATCAGTTGTCCGACCTCCATTTTGTGGAAGTCGCGTGGCTGAGCGGGTTTGGCTGCTGACTTTACATGCTGGCGATTAGGCGCCTGACTCTGAGGATGTGGGTTCGAATCCCGGATAGGACTCAGCCCAAAAAGGACTTGAGTCGGTACTTGACTAAGAAAGTGTAATCCCAAATATCACATATGTTACAGATGTTAGTTATGGGTTAGGGTCGCTTGCATTGAAGTGTGTATGTGATTCATTCTGTGTGTGTGTGTGTGTGTGTGTGTGGTGTGTGTGTGTGTGGTGTGTGGTGTGTGTGTGTGTGTGTGTGTGTGTGTGTGTGTGTGTGTGTGTGTGTGTGTGTGTGTGTGTGTGTGTGTGTGTGTGTGTGTGTAAAGAGACACGCTGCGATATAAGGTTAGGCACGGTGTACTGTTGCCTATAAGATCAAAGAATTGATGCTGACCTGTTCGTGCTGGCCTATTACGCTATTAGTCTCCATGGCATATAAATGCTACCGAAATCAGTGCCTGACGTATAGAAACACAGCAGGCAAGAGTCAGATACATCAACATACCGTTCACCTACGTACTGGAACTGACTCATACCTCTTAGAAGGACTATAAATCTTTGCGTCTCCATAAAACTGTAGGGAATCTGCGATCACAGACTCCACTCAGCGACTCGACCACATAATCTTTCTTTTGTTACGAGCATTATATAAATGAATATTGTTTCAAGACACATTTGACACAGCAGCTATTAGACATTATATTAAGACAGAAATAGATATGTTAAATGTTGGGCACGGCGGCCTAGACGTCCTTGTCACAACACTTCATTAGTCAACAAATGCTTCAACCGGCCACCTGACCTGTCCGTAATCTGTGGATTAGTTTCAAACGCGTTTCACGAGCGAAACTAATCGACGGATTAAAGAACTCTGTCAACCTTAAAACGACTTTCACACTGTATATACTTGATGGATTATGTAGGTGAAACGAAATATGCTGCTTTGGGTCGAGTCGACTGATATTATAGCCTCCTAAATTGTGTCTTTTAAAACTATTTGATGTCCCAAATAGTCGCTACTGGATGCGTACGTTAGTTCTATCTGGTCAAATAGTTGAAACGATTTAATTTTCGCGAGTGGACGCTGTTAGTCATACGCAATCACACATTCTGTCGACAAATAGACCCTCACATATTCAATATTGTATGAACATATACTGAGGGAAGAAAATAAGGGATCACATGAAAGCACAAGTGTTCTGTATTTTTTTCAAGTTTTTTTCACAAGCTTTGTATCACATAGCTTGTGAAGAAACCTGGAAAAAATAAGTGAACACTTGTGCTTTCTTGTGATACTTTTATTTTTCCCTCAGTATATATTCACAACCCATACTCCCATGAGATCGATATATCAATCAGTACACTTAACGATGCATTGAAATTTGTTGTTATGAGTTAAAACATCCCTGACTATAATAACATCATGTTGTGTTTTAAACACCACTGCTATTCAGGAAGGTTACAGCTACCATAATGCACGTTGCACTTAGTTGTTTTTGTTTCATTTAATGGAAGACATAGCACATATTAACGAAATTGATATTAAATAATCATAGAATATTATCAAAAGAAATAATTTTACATTTCCCCGTGGGTTTTATCCCCGGATCGTATGTCATGAATACTTAACTATCTGTTTGAATCTGAATATTTTGTTTCAATTAATGTAGAATATCATTCAATATTTACCAATATTCATCAGCAGAGATGGACAGGTGCGTTGCTGAATCAATCATATCAATCTAAACAATGTCAGCATTTTGTTCCTGTGTAAAATAATTAAATTATTTAGTAAAATGAGCTAAACAAAAGCACAACCAGACGCCCCGTGTCCAGGTGCTGCACAGTTTCGTATTCAGGTGATGGTAAGTTCTGATGTCGGCCTAAAGCAAACCCACCTTGGCGTATACATATTTTTGCAAAGGACTGTATTTCTAGAAACTTTTGTGATGTAGCTAAAAATATAGTTACGTTGACATTTTAGTACTTACTTGAGTTCTCCGCTCCAACCTCCTCTTCTAACATATCACTGACTTTGTGAAATTTCGGCATAAACATGTGGAAGCCATAGGACAGCTTATAGTCTTTGCTGTAGGCGACGAACGCCGCCGCAGCCAGAAAACAGAATCTTGGAGCAACGTCAGAATGTCCTGAGCCGTCGTAGATGACCTTGACCTTTTTCCAATGAAACACGTGCAACATGTCAATAATTGACGCTGCTAGAGAGTTGAAGGTCGCGCCAACACGAGTCAAGGTTGGATATTCCGCGTTTGGCACTGATTTATTGGCGCCAAAATCGTGTGCAAAGCCTCCAGGAGAAATGATTGGTATGTTCCAGTAGGGGGCGTACCTAGCAACCGGGGCTAAGCTGTAATCACATATAGGGCCGACAAAAACGTCGACTTGGTGGTGCATGTAGAATTCGAAAGCTTTTATGGCTGCATCGGCTGAATTGCATTTAGAATCTCCGAAACGGACGCTGAAGCGTAGGCCGTGTTGCGCGTGCATATGACGTGTACGGGAAGTGACGTAATCAATTACCGGTCTCACATGCTGTATAGAAAACATACTTGATTTGCTCGGTGCTATTACTGCAAGTTTGACATGTCTTTTGGCACAAGCATACTCACAGATCATACATACTAAAAGTACAACCAAGTATGCTTTGGCCATGGTTGCAGTACACTTCCTATCCATTCCAGGATCGACGAATTGAATATATCGGTTTAGAAAAGTTCTTCAGAAATCCTGTTCTATCCAAAGTTGTCGACGACAAAGAACCAGCGTTATTGTTCTTGTAGGACTGTCAGGAACTGTTGACGAATCTCGGATGCGTCTCAGTTAGGATTGTCTAGACGAAGAAAACGTCGCGCGAATTGATGGAGTCAGCGTTATTCTTTAAGCACGTCTCAGGTGCTGTACCATTACTAATCGTCTGGCTGATGCCCGTGGGTGATGAATTTAGACCAATATGTGTAGAGATGTCACCACCTTGTATTCTCAGAAGAAAATGAATCCAAAACACCAAGGTATCAAAAAAGCAGAAAATCTCCCCGTCGGATATTATTGCACATGTGACGTTTCATTGCATTGTGGCGCTGAAATCAATTGCAAACGCAACCGCGAATGCTTTGGTCGTAAAACAATAACCTATAACCAGATGGTCTCAATCGGGGGGTGTCGCTCGATTATTGATTCCTCTTCGAGTGAAACACTTGACAAGTTGTTGAACTCCTGAATGTTGATTATTGGTTTAAAGGTGGACGTTAGGCGTTCTGTGAGTCTGGAACCGAGTATCATATGTCTGAGATCCGGGAAGTCTGAAAACGTTGTACTCAACTTTAATATTTCCGTTTCAATTTGGCATCGTTACTATAACACACCAAACAATCTCACCACTCTGTATGAATACCACTCGAACCTTAAACTGCTCATCTGTATACAATAATATTCATGAGCCAAGCACACGCATAACAAAGGCGTGGGTTTTGGTATTTAATGCTTTACAGCGTATCTCATCAAAATACTGACATTCATTTATTGAAATATTATATCTGTTTCTCCCACTGATACAATAGAACTATACACAAGAGGATGTGGTTTGTGAGAAATATGAATATTATTGTTTAAGACCACGCTATTGAAGACACAGGACACATTGACATTCATTTATTGCAAGATTTCATCTGTTCATCCGGCTTATTCAATAAAACTATACACAAGGGAAATAGTTGGGTAGTTTATACAAATATTACAATATTGAATAATATTAATTCAAGTATGAAAAGTGAACCCTACAATGACGTTGACATATTGCGTCCCCTTTACTGCATTGCTGCTTTTACTGTATTGGTACTTCGCCATATAAACCAATTAACATTAATAACGTTTATTAAGGCGTTGAGAATATGGGCTATGGGTATTCCACTGATGAAGGCGTTCAGTCATCACGCCTGGGTTCGATTCCCCACATTATGTCCTTCTCTGGTACCCCTGAGATTATATTACTGAAATATTTCTCAAAGAGGTAAGGAAGGAAACAATATCTTTTTTACTCTGCTTCACCGACTTTCCAGCTGTTCTTCAAGGGAACTCCCATCAGAACAACTGTTCCTGGAGCATTGGGTGAGTAGGGCTTTATGCCGCTTTTAGCAATATTCCAACAATATCACTGCGGGGGACACCAGAAATGGGCTTCATATATTCTACCCCTGTGGGGAATCGAACCCGGGCCTTCAGCGTGACGGCGAACGCTTAAACCACTAGGCTACCCCACCGACCCGTTACTGGAGCAGGAAGGAACAACCATATGTGTTCTTGGGATACAGTCTCTTGAGTCTGTTCTTGGAGATGGTTAAGGATGGATATAGTAAGGGGGTATTAAGAAAACTCCCCACAACAATAATCCCCTGTCCTCAGAAACGGTCATGGGTAATCCTATCTTACCGAACACACAATACGTCTGAACAAGAGAGCCGGAAGTATATTACTTTTCTAAAGTTACACGACAATTTGCCAGACGCGCTGTCGCGGTGCGGTATGCATACAAAATGCGGCGATTTCTCCAACTGTCAAAACTCCATTTGAAGCAATCTAGTTTCATTGATACTGTCTGCCACAACGTGACGGTGACACATCTCCAAACCCCACTAAGGGAAGCTTTTCACGCCGTCGAGTATGGATCCATCACGCCGTGCCCACGAGCCCACGTTTACAACGACGTTGACAGCATCCAGTAGTGCCTTGGCGGACCAATTGGTCTCAAAGAGACACTTCATGTGAGGACTGTCCCCCACAAGGAAAGGACAGGCAAATGACAGTGCTCAATCATTCATCTTGCGATAAGTTCCTCTGGAAGCCTTAAATCATTTTCTTGGTCTCTGCGGGCTATTTCTTTCAAGCCATACTAATACAAATCCCTGCTACATATTTTTTCTCTTTGCTTATTTTTCCATTGTGACTTTTCATAAATTGATGCACAGTACAAAGTACGTAGGGGCGGTGGGATAGCCTAGTGGTTAAAGCGTTCGCTGAAGACCCGGGTTCGATTCCCCACATGGGCACAATGTGTGAAGCCCATTTCTGGTATCCCCCGCCGTGATACTGCTGGAATATTGCTAAAAGCGGCGTAAAACCATACCCACTCACTCACTCATTTCTGGTGTCCCCCGCCGTGGTATTGCTGGAATATTGCTAATAGCGGGGTAAAACTTATCTCACCCACAAAATACTGTATTCCCAAAGGAACCTAAGATCATTTTTCATCATTTTATGATTTCATTGCAAACCAAAATTAGCATTTATGACATAATTATGCATGTAGAATGGTTCAATCTTCATTCAGCACAAATATGTAGACAGTTTCAGCAGTTGGGTGACATGGGGTTCCGCGTTGGATCCATGATTATTGTTTACGTACACGTCGAACCATCGACCATCTACCGTCGGCGTAGTCGCGCTATCCACAAATCAACGGACATTATGTGACGTTATAAGCTTATTATTGTTATTTATTATTACTGGATATTTGTATAGCGCACATATCCACGCACTAGTGCATGCTCAAGGCGCTGATATTTTGTCCCTAGATCATTGGTTGTCAATCTCAACGGCACATCTTATTATCAATCTCAACTCCCTGGGGACCATACAACTGTAAGCGATGAACTCTTTGCATAATCATAATAAATCTATATTGTATGATTCCAACTTTATCATAAGCATAGGTTATGATTTACTGGCGACAGACGAATGCAGTGTCCAAACACGTGACTGAGTTGACGTCAGCAATATTTGACTTAGATTTTTCTCGGCGGGCGACAGAACGCATATTTCTCGCTGTTTGAAAGGTCAGGATTATTAAGTGTGATTGCTTTTGGACAATTACTCGAGTTAAATAATTGCGGAATTGATTAGAAATGCTGTCTATAAATTATGTAACCTTTATTCCAATTGATACATAAATAGTGTCGTTGTGACTCAATGTTATGGTGACAAAAGTTGGTTTAACGCCAATTTGGGGTAGGGTAATCTGATGGTATAAACGTTCGCTTTAACCTGTGGACCTACCCCAACGCCCGTGGGTGTAAACGAACATCTTTTGAATGGTATATACCAAAGTGGATCTTATCATGGAGTAACCGAGTGTAAATTTACACTATTTCTGTCTGTCCAGTTGATTTGCATGTCGTTATATGAATTCGTCAAATAGTATTGCTTACAGATCATAGTCTACTACGACACCTCCACGTTATATATGTATTTAGACACTAGTCCGTTCGTTCTTTCGTTCCTATCAGCAGCTTAAACATATTTCACTGTCAAATTTAATTTGAAGCGACACGGCTGGACTGTTGTTCTTTAAACTAAATCAGAAGATCTGAAGAGCTGATATCTCAATATCTGGACTTAAAGCATTAAAAGAAGGGTTGCATTCTAGAGGTGTTAAAGAACGAGTGATGATTATTCAGTAAAAATAATCCTATGTGATCAATCACATGGGCGTGCTTAAACCTCATCTTCAGTATGAGGGTTATCTTATTCTGAGATACCCTGGATTACTTACGAAGTCCGCTGTTATATAGGTATAATTACGTGGCGCGAAAAATCCAGGGTATCTCAGAATACCATCACATGGACCTCATGAGCACTGGATCCATGAAAGGTTTCAAATAGTAAATCTCACCTGTGTAATCAGTCTCAAGTAATGAGTGTTTCTTGGACAGTAATGAACTCTCATGTTTCGTGAGATTTGTTCAGATTATTTCTTGTTGGTCTTAATGAGAAGTTGGGCCAATTTTCTAGAGCTGCCTCCGAGTTCGCTAGTATGTAGTTCAACTGAATTTGTGAGAGAAAGCGGATACTGGAAATAGTGGTGAAGATTCGATTTCAATAATATTAAGCCAGTGAGCTCCAGTTTTAGTCCGATTGTAGTTCAAAGTGGAAGTGTCGAATTATCCCCATAGACTTAATCTCCAAAAGACACATATTTTATTTCGGAAATTAGAACGTTAGGTCGTGCATTTATCATTGTCATGTGCCTAATAGCTTGAAATGTCAATTTGAAAAACAAACGGAATAAAGGGGTTTTGTATCATTTCGTAACACTTGCTTTATCATATGTGGCATTGGATAGTCTTGAGGTTAAAACGTTCGCTCGAGCCCCAAAGACACGGTTCCAGGAGCTTAGGGAGACAGACAGATAGTTTATTTTAGTCTCACCTCATACACGTCAAAACATATTATAAATATTAGATAGGTACAGTGACTGATGTTTACGCTCGTGGATTTATATTTATAAATTATGAATTATAAACGAATAGATTTATATTCATATCACATTCACTGCTCGCTGATGGTATGCACCTATATCATACATCCTGTTCGCTGTTTCGGCCTTGATATCAAACGATACCATTTAAGATGTACTTTTCCATGTCATGATAGTACTTAAACATCTTATCCCTATTTCTATCCATGGTATAGCTGTCCTCTTTATGCATGCTGCATAGTAAAACATGCATGCTTATGATCTAGTTGGAATCGCAATCTTCTCGAGGTTAAATTGTGGAAAGCGTTATTTTATATACAATAAAAACGTTTTATGTATGCAGCTGCTCAAGCCAAATATTCGTGCCGTGAAAGACCCGATTTTGCCTATTCGCTTGAAATGTCAATTTGAAAAACAAACGAAATAAAGGGTTTTTGTATCATTTCGTAACACTTGCTTTATCATATGTGGCATTGGATAGTCTTGAGGTTAAAACGTTCGCTCGAGCCCCAAAGACACGGTTCCAGGAGCTTAGGCAGACAGACAGATAGTTTATTTTAGTCTCACCTCATACACGTCAAAACATATTATAAATATTAGATAGTTACAGTGACTGATGTTACTGTAACAATGCTTAAAACAGCGTAAAACAAAACACGGTCATCTTATCCAAAGTTGGTAAGGTCTGTCAAGCGGGCGTCCAACCGCCTTTTGTGCAAAATGCGACATTAAACCACATTCACCTAATGTCAAATGTTATGATCTTGATGGGGTAGCCTAGTGGTTAAAGCGTTCATTTTTTCACGCCTTAGACCCGAGTTCGATTCCCCACATGGGTTCAGTTTGCGAAGCCCATTTCTGGAATACCAAACTGTGATAGTGTACAGTACACAACCCTGTGCACTTAAAAGAACCCACGAATCCGTTGGTATATGATCAGATGGTGACCACATGAATACGTGCAAACACCTAGTTGCGGGTACAGCAACGAGCAGTAAACTTGGTCAAAGTATTGTGACTATGTGTCCCAGTCCACCCAGCTGTGAATGGGAACCTCTAAAGGATGGGAAAGCCGCAATAAATCGGTAGGCCTAGTGGCTGCAAGATTTGTATGATCCCAAGGGAGTTGAGATTGATAATAAGATGTGCCGTTGAGATTGACAACCAATGATCTAGGGAACAAATATCAGCGCCTTGAGCATGCACCAGTGCGTGGATATGTGCGCTATATAAATATCCAATAATAATAAATAAGAATAATAAATAATATTGCTGGAATATTGCTAAAGGCGGCGTAAAACTAACCTCATTCACTATTTTATTCAGCAAGTCATCCTCAATTTATGTGACACACTCTCCCTATGTGTAAATGTTTGGATGATACTAACACATGTTTAAACCATGATAAAACGTATTGATTGATCAAAGTCAATAATACACGTATTACAAAACGATCAATGTTATGCTTCCATCCTCTGGTTTTGTGCAAAGAATTAATCAATACTAGGAGATACCTGAGAATGATGTTAAGAAACGTTGTAGCAGCTTATTATCGACATAGGACAAAAACAAGTCGAGTGAATCACACTGCCGTCTATTGTTGGAAACTGGTGTTAATATCTGACAATAGCGCGATCTGTAATTAGGGAGATGGGCGAGGCACGAGTACAAGACAGTCAGATTTGAAATCGATTACCTTGTTTGTTAAGTGCAATAGAGCAGAACTGATAATACGATCTACAAGAACATTGGTACTGATACTAAGGTTAATTTGGTTAGTTACAGTGAGTGATTGAGTTTGGTTTTACGCCGTTTTAAATCCGCAAAGCTCTATTTCTTTGCAAGTAGCTTGAGAACAGTGGTTCCAAGGAATTGCGAATGCTATTTAAATTCACAATGACTAAGATTGTTATTGACATGCTGAGAGTGAGTATGGTTTTACGCCGCTCTGAATTCGCAAATCTCAACTTCTTTGCAAGAAGGAAGTTGAGAATGCAATTTTAAATACACATTGAGGATGGTTATTATTATTAAGTCGCTTTAGCAATATTGTAGCACTATCACTAGGAGAGGAGGGGCGGGGGTTTGGGGCAACACAAATTGTCGTCACACATTCTACCGATGTGGGAACTCGAACCCGGGTTTTCGGGTACGCATCTACCACAAGGCTACCCGAAGCTATTTTCAATAAGAATTCATTCTGTATTCGTGTATTCACTATAACATCGTTGCTGGATTTACATTCATATCATGTGTACTGTATGCTTGTGGATTTGTGTTAATATATTAGGACTAATTTATATTCGTATCATTTGCATTTTACGCTCGTGGATTTATATTAATAAATTATGAAATATAAACGGATAGATTTATATTCATATCACATTCACTGCTCGCTGATGGTATACACCTGTATCATACATCCTGTTCGCTGTTTCGGCCATGATATCAAACGATACCATTTAAGATGTACTTTTCCATGTCACGATAGTACTTAAACATCTTATCCCTATTTCTATCCATGGTATAGCTGTCCTCTATATGCATGTTTCATAGTAAAACATGCATGATTATGATCTAGTTGGAATCGCAATCTTCTTGAGGGTAAATTGTGGAAAGCGTTATTTTATATACAATAAAAGCGTTTTATGTATGCAGCTGCTCAAGCTAAATATTCGTGACGTGAAAGACACGATTTTTACCTTATTTTTGTACACAAGGGCTGTTCATTATAAGAACCGTATTGTATAGGGCCGATTCGGTGACATTGTCGACAGAACGTCTACTTCGTGAGCGGAAGGTCGATGGTTCTATCCCGCGTCATACCAAGCCACGTTAATAGACGTTACACGTTATTTATCTGCCAGTTATTTAATGGGATACGACAGGTACTTCCGGGTCGGCGACGGTAATCTGTATAAGAGTGGGGTATCAATGTTAAAAGTGGTATGGTTTGGCTGCGAGCTCACTCACACAGAGAGACACTCTCTCTCTCTCTCTCTCTCTCTCTCTCTCTCTCTCTCTCTCTCTCTCTCTCTCACACACACACACACACACACACAATCATACACTCGCTCTCTCAGACACCCTTTCCTCAAACTCACACACTCTCTCTCACTCACTCTCGCTCTATCATCACCCACACACACTCACACACCCTCTCTCCTCACACGATCTCACACCCACGCTCTCTCTGAACTCTCATTCACGCTCTCTCTCTTTCTCTCTGTCTCTCTCTCTCACAAACACACACACACTCTCATAAAATACGCAGTCTCGCTCTCACATACACTCTCTCGTCACTGACACACATACTCACACATACGCTCTCTCCTCACATACTCTCTCCCCACCCACACACGTCCCTGCTCCTTCAACCCCCAAATAAGTGCATTAATATTTACTGCGAAGCTACACACCATTTCACCCCACCGTACAGTACTATAACTTACGAACTCCAGAGTCTTACACCTACCTTGTTTAGTCCACACGTGTTTCCACAAATAGGATGTCAGCTTCCCAACATACAAAAACAAGTTACACAAACATCCCAGGAAGATAATCAGTCCAACTTGTGAGCAGCTAATCTAATAACCAGATTACCATCAACGGATCAATGCAAAGCCCCGTGAGTACAACGGAAAACATTGATGTTTGGTTAACAGTTGAAGTCTCCATCGCCGCTGCTGTAACAGGAACACGTAACGCAACTGCATCCCACAAGAAGCATCTCAGAGGGATGACGGTGCTGTTGTTTCTGATTTTGGCCACACGTCGTTCTTAATAACAGCCTCGCATTCCTTATGTAATTACCGTAAAGTTTGGTTTTAACGTCTATCACACATCCACATGCTTCCTCCTCGCTATCTTCATCTTTCTTCAAACAGTAATGACGTGTGTTGATTCCAAGTCGTAATATTCGGAAGACAGGTTCCGTGGTGTCCTTACGATTACCGTCGTTGTCAGAGTAAGAAGAGTTTTCTGGTTTCAGAGCGGTTTGCAGTAAGAATATGTGAAATTAACAAATAAATGTCACTATCACAGATGATCCAAGTGTCTTCCCATTACCGTGGGTGTAAGACTGGCCATTGTTGGATTATATGGCATTTAGTCATTTTGGACATACCTTATATAGTATAAGGTTTCCTCCTCAAGCCTTCCAATACAGAGCTGCAATTACGAGATGTTATATCAAAGTTGCGTCTCGTGTTAGTGTTAGACTGTTTATACAATACCTTCAAATACACAGTATTGTTCATGTGCGCACCATTGCCAAAACCTGTGACAGGAATTCATCTTAAACGTTCATCAAATGAGTCAGAAGTTTTGAAACGTCCACTTTAACAGCACCTCACACACAAAACCACGCCGATTCCTCGCGTACTGTAGATATGAGAACTTCTGGAAACACCACATCCATAAATCATCGACATAGCATGTCATCAATCACAAATGACGGTAGTATCAAAACGAACATACACCTCTTGGCTACGGAAACATGTTCCTTCGTCAACTGTCTTTGCATATGTCCCAACACAATGATTCAAACATAAATCCGGAAAGTCTGATGACGGAACGTTTGTTTCCAAACAAGTTTGACAGCCGCTGATCCGTCCATCGCTTTAGCGCTGTTGGCACTTGCAGTGCTTAACCTTCCATAGGAGAGTGGTCCAATCTATGTGAGCGCTTGGACCTCTGTTGATGAAATATGTGATGGGGCATCGCTGAGCATCCCGGTGTGGAGGTAGCCAGCTGTTTGCTGCGGAAGAGGGGCTCGGCGACTAACCCCCGTCGGTGGTAGGGATGGATTAGCGCAGATCGATGTCACAGCCAACACGTGTTGCTATTCCAGTGGGCGTGGCCGGCTTGACATAATGGCCATGATTGCCTGGGTCTCTTGGCTTGCGTAATTCTTGTTTATAGAAGTTCAGATGGTACTTAACTCTAACAAGGTTATTTATTTATTATTTTTCGATTTTGAAAGATTTGTAAAATACGGTTCTGCCTTTTAAGTGTGTTTGCGATATTGCATGCATTTTTGGGTGTGTTGTAAATATTTCATGATTGTTTCTTTTATACAGTGTGGGAAAGGTAATTATTCTCCACGTTGTTTTTTAATTTAAAAAGCCATGCTTCGTCAAGCTGTTACGCAGGTGTGGATGTTATTGAGTATTGTTTTGTTATGTATGGCCTTTATTAAGGCAGCTCGCTATTACAAGCTGTGAAAGTGAGTGAGTGAGTGAGTTGGGCCTAACGCAGACGTGTATTCCAATAGCTGCGCAGGGTAAATGAGTGGGTGAGTTTAGTTTTACGCCACAGTTTATTCCTGCAATATCGCGACGAGGGATCCTAGGAATGGGCTTCACACATTGTACCAATGCGGGGAATCGAACCCGGATCTTCGGCTTGACGAGCGAACGCTTTAACCACTAGGCTACCCCACCATCCACCCCGACCCCCCAGCGTAACAGCTTATTGTGGGAAGAGAGCCCATCGAAATGCAGGTGGTCTCAGTCGTTTACCACTGTGGTAGAACCAGCCAGGACAGGTGTGGTACTGGCAAACCCAGAAACATTCTGAGCGAATGTGGATTCGAACCCACGATAGGCTTTGGCATGTCCAAGGGACACAACTGTGTAGAGCAAACTGACACCACTCGGCCAGCCGTGAGCTCCCTTCCACCAAACTACAGCACTATCAGAATCGGTGAATCTTCTATAATGTCGTTTAATTTGTACGTCAGTCAAAACACTTTCTAGCGTGTAAATTTGTCAATTTAATCCATTGGCTTTGACATTCTATTTTTAAAAGAAATTCTCTGGGGCTGTTTCTTTGAGCCAAAAAGGGCCTATTTTATCGGATACCCGAGAATTATTGTTCACTGCATTTGCCCGCCCCTTCTGTATGCAATAAATGACGGTTATAACGAACTCAAAGGAATCAGCAACTTTAGTTCGCTATAACCGTAGTTCGTTATACCGGAGACCAAAAACAGCTTTTGTATCCTTCAGTTCTCTTATAAACGGAGTTTCCTGTATTTTATTCAAAATCATATAACAAATTACCTATGTACTGAAAATAAATTGGCGTTCCCTTTGAGTTCGTTATAACCGGAGATTACTGTATCCTGAACTAAAAAGGAATGAGACCATATCCGTGTTCAGGATTCTTACGTAAGGGGGCTTCAACGTATGGAAAATATATCCCTGGCTCATGAATTCGTGTTAACCATGGTTTAATGTATATCGAAATTCCAAAAAGAGATAAAGAGCGAGACGGACACGATGACAATTGGGGCTATCATTGAAGAGTAGAAGACGTCATTCAGCTGATGAGTGATCATAAGTTCGTCATAACCGTTGTAACTATATATCGGAACTCGAACAGAGAAGACGAGCGAGATGGAAGGATGATGATTGGGGCTATCATGCAAGAGCAGAAGACATCATTCAGCTGATGAGTGATCGTAAGTTCGTCATAACCGTTGTAACTATATATATGAACTCGAACAGAGAAGAAGAGCGAGATAGAAAGATGATTGGGGCTATCATGGAAGAGCAGTAGACATCATTCAGCTGATAAGCGATCGTGTGTTCGTCATAACCGTTGTTTACTATATATCGGAACTCGAACAGAGAAGAAGAGCGAGATGGAAGGATGATGATAGACGGACAGGAGACTGGATGCAGCAGATAAGTCATCGCGAGTGTCATATTGCTCTTTATTGCCAGCAAGAAAAGATCGATGATACTGACTGCGAGGGAGGAGTGTTTGAGCTTATAAAGCGACAGTCAGATTATATAGGAGGGAAAATGTTGATAGATCAATGTGTCACCACAATAATGCGAGTGTCGACCCATAATGTAAAATGATTCATGAAAGTAATCTGAGTAGCCTTCTTCTGGATTAACTCAAACACGATAAGACCTGGACTTTTCACTTAACTCCAACTGCGTGATATATGATTCAACTTCCATGAAATGAAAAGCTATAATTGATAGCAATGTACATGTAAACTGCCATTTAGTCGTCCCTAGCGACAAGTCCTAAGTGATGGGTGCCTATTTTAACCAAGATAGACTTAGTCGTCTCCGGCGACAAGAGAGAGCCCTGGGTAAATAGTCTAACCAGAATCCTATTGGCCGTGTCTACCAAGATATACATTACTGGATACAGTAAGGTGTGCACTTTTTCTTATCATTATCCATCTAACGACAAGACATAAAGTGCTCGGTACATATTCTAACAAAGATCCATTTGGTCGCATCTAACTACAAGGTATCAAGTAATTGGCACCGATTCTATTAATGATCCATTAGGTAGCATCTAACGACAAAATATAAGTGCTCGGTATGTATTCCAACAAGGGCATATTTGGTCGCATCTTACGACAAGATATCAAGTAATTTGCACCGATTCTATCAATGATCCATTTGGTCGCATCTTACGACAAAATATGAAGTGCTCGGTATGTATTCCAACAAGGGCCTATTTGGTAGCATCTAACGGCAAAACATAAAGTGCTCGGTACCTATTCTATCAATGATCCATTTGGTCGCATCTAACAACAAAATATGAAGTGCTCGGTAGTAATTCTAACAAGGACCCATTTGGTCGCATCTATCAACAAGACATAAAGTGCTCGGTACGTATTCTAACAAGGACCCATTTGGTCGCATCTAACAACAAGATATGAAGTGCTCGGTACCTATTCTAACAAGGACCCATTTGGTCACATCTAACAACAAGACATAAAGTGCTCGGTACCTATTCTAACAAGGACCCATTTGGTCACATCTAACAACAAGATATGAAGTGCTCGGTACCCATTCTAACAAGGACACATTTGGTCGCATCTAATGACAAGATATGAAGTGTTCGGTACCTATACTAAAAAGGACCCATTTGGTCACATCTAACGACAAGATATTAAGTGCTCGGTACCTATTCTAAAAAGGACCATTTGGTCACATCTAACAACAAGATATGAAGTGCTCGGTACCTATTCTAAAAAGGACCCATTTGGTCACATCTAACAACAAGATATGAAATGCTCGGTACGTATTCCAACAATGATCCATTTGGTCACATTTTACAACAAGATATGACGTGACCGGTACCTATTCTAACAAGGACCCATTTGGTCACATCAAACAACAAGACATAAAGTGCTCGGCACCTATTCTAACAAGGACCCATTTGGTCGCATCTAACAACAAGATATGAAGTGCTCGGTACCCATTCTAACAAGGACCCATTTGGTCACATTTAACGACAAGATATGAAGTGCTCGGAACCTATTCTAAAAAGGACCCATTTGGTCACATCTAACAACAAGATATGAAGTGCTCGGTACCCATTCTAACAAGGATCCATTTGGTCGCATCTAACGACAAGATATGAAGTACTCGGTACCTATTCTTAAAATGACCCATTTGGTCACATCTAACAACAAGATATGAAGTGCTCGGTACCTATTCTAACAAGGATCCATTTGGTCACATCTAACGGCAAGATATAAAGTGCTCGGTACCTATTCTAAAAAGGACCCATTTGGTCACATCAAACAACAAGACATGAAGTGCTCGGTACCTATTCCAACAAGGACCCATTTGGTCACATCTTACAACAAGACATAAAGTGCTCGGAACCTATTCTATCAAGGATCCATTTGGTCGCATCTAACGACAAGATATAATATGATCGGTACTTATTCTAACAAGGATCCATTTGGTCGCATCTAGTGAGTGAGTTTGGTTTTACGCCGCTTTTAGCAATATTCCAGCAATATTACGGCGGGGGGACACCAGAAATTGGCTTGACACATTAAACCCCTGTGTAGAATCGAACCCGGGTCTTCGGCGTGAGGAGCGAACGCTTTAACCACTGGGCTACCACATCTCACCTGGTCACATCTAACGCCAAGATATAACATGCTCGGTACCCTATTCCAACAAAGATCGGGGCGGTGGGGTAGCCTAGTCATTAAAGCGTTGGCTCGTCATGCCGAAGACCCGGGTTCGAATCCCCACATGGGTACAATGTGTGAAGCCCATATCTGGTGTCCCCCGCCTTGATGTTGCTGGAATATTGCTAAAAGCGGCGTAAAACCAAACTCAGTCAGTCAGTCAGTCCAACAAAGATACATTAGGACTGATCTGACGACAGGCTATATCATGACGACTCTCTATCCTAACCAAAATCCATTTAGTTGTCTCTGAATACAAAGCAGAGAGTGATGGAATCTATTCTAACCCAGACCAATTAAGCCGTCTCTATAGACGAAGATATACATATTGTTTGATACTGATTCTATCCAAAATCGTATGACAAGATGAGTGGTGGGTACATACACCATTTCGTCGCATTCTACTTGAATCCGTTTGTCTTCTCTAACAGCACGAAATACAATATTGGGTATATATGTATATTGTAACCACGTTACAAGTAGTTATTATAAACGACAAGATATAAAGCAAATGGGTCATGCATATTGTCACTTGGATGCATTTAGTCGTTTTGATGACAACAGATCAAATTTAGTACACACGTGAGTGAGTTGGATTTTACGTCGCTTTTAGCCATATTCCTGCAATATCACGGCAGGGGACACCAGGAATGGGCTCCACACATGGTACCCATGTGGGGAATAGAACCGGGTGTTCGGCGTGACGAGCGAACGCTTTAACCACTAGACTACCCCGCCGCCCCAGTACACACGCGAACCCTACCAGGATTCATTTAGTCGGCTCTAAATACAATGTATAGAACACAGGGTGCCAATTCCAGGATGGCAACAACTGTCA